AATTTCACAGAACACACACTCCACAACTTCAAAAGACAAATCTGTTCCCAACCTGGTTTTAAGTGCTGCTTTCATAACACAAAAGCAGGAACAGACTTACCACTGCTCCAAATACTTTTCTTTTCATCCTTCCAATCCTTAGTGCATCTAAATAAAGATGATGCAGAAATAGTTTTGCCACTGAAGGACTAAATGTTAAATAATCTGTACCTTCTTACCTTCTATTTTACAACACTATCTACAAGGGAGGAAACAGCCAGCCCAGTAAACCTTCACACAGGAGTTATCAGGGCTCATTGGAACATCCTCAAACTGGATTTGAAGGGGGAAAGGAGTAAAACCAGGCTCACTGGAGATAATCCTGAGGGCTGCACACAAAATATGAGAGGCTGTGTGCTGGTGAGATCCTTCAGTCTGCTGTCCCAGTGGAGGTGTGGATAGAGATCCACGTGACAGCAAAGGCACAAGGGTTACTGGGGTGTTAGAATCCATGGAAGAACCTGAGAACAGCCACACAGGAATTAGGGGTTATCCCTGCAAAAAGGTGCTGGGATCAAAAGCCCAACTGAAATGCATCTGCACCAGAGTCTGCAGCACTGGCACCAAACCAGAGGAGCTGGAAGCCACTGGGCAGTGGAAAGGCTCTGGTACAGCTGCCATCACAGGGGGACAGCACAGCTGGAATGTGCCATGGGTGGCTATAAACTCTGCAGAGGGAACAGTGGAGGGAGGAGAGGCACTGGGGTAGTCCTCTGTGTTAGGGAGGGGTTTGACGGTCCGGAGGTTAATGATGGTGACTAGAGGGTTGGGTGTTTCCAGGTAAGGGTCAGGGGAAGGCCAACAAGCCAGACAGACCACCCAACCAGCATGAGGAGGTGGAATAAATAGTCTATAAACAGTACATAGACTCATGGAATTTAGGAGTTGGAATGGCCCTTATGGATCATCCAGACCCAACCCCTGCCCTGGGCAGGGACACCTCCCACCAGAGCAGGTTGCTCAAGGCTCAGCCAACCTGGCTGTGAACACTGCCAGGGTTGGGGCAGCCACAGCCTCCCTGGGCAACCTGGGCCAGGGTCTCACCACCCTCACAGCAAAAACTTCTGCCTAAGATCTCACCAAAATTTCCCTCCTTCAATTTGAACCCATCACCCCTTGGTCCTATCACTGCAACTCCTAACAATAGGGGAGATGCACCAGCTCTCTTATTAACTTCATGGCCTCCTCTGGAGTTGTTCCTCTTCACCACTGCAGTTCTGGTGCTTCAATGTAAGAAGGACATGGAACTGTCAGAGCAAGTCCAGTGGAGGCCACCAGGTGACAGGCTGAGGAAGTTGGGGCTGTTGAGCCTGGAGAAGAGAAGGTTGTGTGGAGACTTCAGAGCACCTTCCAGGAGCTGAAGGGGCTCCAGAGAAGCTGCAGAGGGATCTGTGTTAGGAGCTGCAGGGACAGGACAAGGGGCAATGGGCACAAATTGAAGGAGGGAAATTGAAGTTAGAAGTTAGGCAGAAGTTCTCCCTGTGAGGGTGGTGAGACACTGGCCCAGGTTGCCCAGGGAGGCTGTGGCTGCCCCAACCCTGGCAGTGTTTCTTGGGAAACAATAAAGAAAAGTCTCACCATAGTTAAAGGTCACAGTACTTGCCTATAAACAGCCACACTGCCACATTTAAGTTCAGAACACTTGCTGCAGGACAGATGTCACAAACACAGAACACATTGCTGCCTCCCAAATCAGTCACCAGGCATTCCCTGCTCTTAATGAAACTCAGACTCATCACACGTGTGTTTGCTTTGCCTCTGGCATGTGCCAGTGGTACCTGCCTCATGCTGAGCAGTGCACAGAGAGTGACTGAAGAGAGAAAAAATTTGCCTTCAGCTTTAAAACTTGCTAGACCCAACTGGGCAAACCAACAGGATAGTTAAGAGCAGCCTGTGGTACAGAGGTAACATTTGAACATCTCACAATTCTCATCTTATTGGACAATGACTTAAAGGACAGGCACAGACTCTGTGTGAGGAGAAACTCAACTCTAAAATCTTAAAGACAGTGCAGCTCAAGCCAGCAAAAGATAAATCTGCTCATGACAATATGGGAAGAAAACCTTTGTGATGTAGAGGGAGATGTCACTGTACACTTTTCATCCTGTAGCATTACACACCATTGTGTATGCATGACTTCACTGGGGGTATTTACATTATAGCTCATAAACACTCTGACTTCTTTATTCTAACTATAGCAAAATAAAGTAGGAATAGTGTAGTCTTTATTAAAAGTTTCCATGAAAACTTACAGTAACCAATCACTTAGGAACACTAGTCAAAACAAACAAAAGCCCAAAAAAATCTGCTTCATTCTATTAAAAAGCCTCAATTACAGAGAGCCTGACACAGCCAAGATATAATTATGATTAACATCAGACAGAGATGCATAAAAAGTGAGAAGTGCAGTCAGAACATTCAGTGTGTGGAGCACAGTGAATGTGATCCCAGCTGCACAGTACTTCAGTGTAATTAACCCACACTTCTTGTGCAATGTAATTCAAATGACAGGCAAGAGTGAAGTTAACTCTCTGCTTTCTCATCCAGCAATCCAAGCCCTGCAAGGTTATTTTTAGGTCTCTGAAAAGAGCAGCACAAGCAGCAGGTCAGCAGTGCTGCTCAGTGGGGAGCAGCCCCTTCACATCAGCATTTTGAGTGCACAGACTGAGCAGTGCTTAACTAGTTTTGTGTTAGAGTGAAAAACCAACAGGTTAGAAAACAAGGCCTAATTCTCTTGTGTAGAGTCAGGTTTAGGCAAAACTCAAGGAAGCACTGTGAGGTGCCTGCTGCCCTTTCCCCACCTCCTCTAAGCCTTCTATCTGTGGCAGAAAATCCTGCAGAGTTTAATTAATGCACAGAATTCACTTCCTAAAGCTTCAAATAGGACAAGTTCAAGTACTATTTGCGACAAGCTACTCTGAGCTTATTAAGTGAAGTAACAAGTAGTATGGCCCTGATGTTGTGGGAGTTATTCCTGCAGCTTTCTGCCCAATCTCTCAAGACATCTTGTAGTCAGACCCAAGGTTTCTTCCTGCCACAGACTGTCCCTTGGACGAGCTGCTGACTGATCTGGAGGCACAGCCTGGAAGGGCAGAGCATGTCTAACAGCCCTGGATCCCCCTCCACCCCCAAGTTTGGCCTGTCTGTGTGGGAATGCTGGGGCTATGTTTTACAACCATAAGCTGTGCCAGCAGTTTCTGAGGAACAAGGAATACAGATTCACTGTGGCCTGGACAATCAGAACTGTGAGGCCACAGCACCTGGAGCTGCACTCCTCCTGCCCAAGGCACACATCCCATTTCTTGGGACAGGAAGGAATCACTGAAGTCTGTGCAGCTGCTGCTATGTTGGTAATGGTACCAAGATATGCCTCATTTAAACCTGACTTTTATGGATCTATATAATCATCCAGGCTCGAAAAAAGGTCACTTGAACTAATAGAAAGTGAAATGCCTTCCAATCCTAGCAAAGAATGTCAGGCCATTAGTTTTATGTTGCTGATATTCCAGGATGTAAACAGAAGTCCAGTTATTGTCACAAATGAAGTCACCACCAGAATGGCTTGAGGTCATTCCCATGTGCTGCACCTCACCTTCATCTAAACCTTGCAGCTTATTCAAATTTTTCTTACCTTCATCCAGCTTTGAAATGGTTGAACAGTGAAAAAAAGCTAAATGTATATGAGCCAGAGATGGGACGAACATTTTCCTGTACCAAAGGTACTATAAACTCTAGATCTAGAATGTTTCACACAGGATCTACATAAATGCTGTGCCAAAAGGGAAAGGTGTTCTCTCTCATGACTTACCAGCTATGCTAATGAGATTCTATGGGAGAGACTTGTCCTGTACTACAATTGTAAGGAGCAGCTATGAAAAGTTCTTACAGGTTTGCAAAAAGCTTATCAAAAGATATTCCCTCCCTAGGCTAGACCTCCTGCCTGCAGCTAGAAAAACTGTAGTACAGACATATCTCCGTGAATCCAGTCCACTTTTTTGGCTTACAGATGGGAATTATTTTCCATCATCTCTCAGTCACAAAGAAACTGTAAGGGAAGGGACAAACTCAAACTCCATTCACTCAATTCCTGTTTACATGTCCACAGGTGACAACTCCATTGAATCAACAGCAGATGCCATTTTAAGTCAATGTAGTCTAATCCACAGCCACTGTGAAAATGCACAGACATGTCCCTTCCCTGGTTATTCTTAAACAGAAAAGAAAACCACAGATCTCCCATAGGTCCTGTGACAACATCTCACTGTGTAAGGCTGTCCCAGATCACCTGGAGCACGTAAAATGGCACTCAAGGTCTGTGTTTGGCAGTTAAATCACTCAAACAGCCCCACTGACCTCCATACATCATCTCAAGTGAGTAACTTACCAAGAATAAAAAGCTGACACTGTAACCAAAACTGTACAACACTGGAGCCCCAGGTGATTCACCTTTAGCAGGGGCATTGTGGAGCCTGGGCTACCACAAATCAATAGCAGCAGCAGCCACAGAAAAGCTGTGGGTGTCACCACACAAGAGATTACAATAATACATGATTATCCCTTCAGGCATCACATTACAGGCTCTGCTGTCATTCTGGTTGGGGCATGCAAGTCAAATATTATCAGAAATTATTCATGGTGATGCTATCTCAGCCTATTCCATATGTTCTCTGCCCTCAAAAGCCACACAAGAGCAATCTTTTATTTGCCAGGAATACCTGTGCTGATCCATGCAACCCATTAAAAAGCCAACAGCAAAGTGTCCATCTTAAGTAGATGGTTCTCCTATCCTCTAACATAGCAACAAAAGATAAAGTTGATTTCAGGCACAAGAACAAAACCTATTTCCCAATTCCCCTACATCAATCCATTCCCCAATTTGCAAACATGCTAAGGAGAGCCCAAGAACATGAGAAACTTATTCCTCAGTAAGAATCATGCAAGAAAAGAAACAACCCACTTACCGTGTCTTGAGATTTGTCTTTGACATCATAGACTGTTAGTTTTATTTTAGTCTCCTCATAGATGGGATATTCCGGTGGGAATGTCACTCCAGTCAAAAACAGTGGATCTCTTGTACCCTGTGTAACATGAGGAAACATTCAGTAGGGCAACAGCTGTGCAAGGTGTAGTATGTCAGGATGGAGATGGCAGCTGCCCACAGCAGAGAGATGGGAACAGCCAAGTATTGTTACCCCATCAATAAACTGACAATTGGGCAAGAAAACATATTAAAATCCCCAACAACAACAAGCAACTACACCAAAACCAACCAACCAACCCCTCAAAACAAACAAACAAAAACAAAGCCACAGAAAACTTCCTGAAATTTTTTTCATCTGGTAAGTTCTGAAGTGCTGTGAGGCAGAGCCTAGCAACACTCCTGTAAACAGCTCAGCCCCTGGAATACAACCTGCAATGCCAAACCCTTTGTTACTCCCACGACACGTTCATACAGCACTGCAATTTCACCTGAATTTACATGAACTAAAGATACAACTTGCATACACATATGGAAAAAGTGATCTCGTTAAGTCTCAATACTGAGTGTACAGAAATGCTGGAGACTCTCTATCACAGTGAGGATGTGGATTTCATAATACCAACAGGGTGGGAAAAGACCTCCAAGATCATCGAGTCCAACCCTACCGTGGTCACTAGACCATGGCACTAAGTGCCACATCCAGTCTCACCTTGAAAACCTCCAGGGGTGGTGAATCCACCACCTCCCTGGGCAGCACATTCCAATGCCTGAGCACTCTCTCCCTAAAAAAAATCTCTTCCTAATCTCCAACCTAACCCTCCCCTGGCAGAGCTTGAGTCTGTGCCCTCTTTTCCTGCTGCTGGTTGCCTGGGAGAAGAGACCAACCCCCACCTGACTCCAACCTCCTGTCAGGGAGTTGCAGAGGGTGAGAAGGTCTCCCCTGAGCCTCCTCTTCTCCAGGCTGAACACTCCCAGCTCCCTCAGCCTCTCCTCATGGCACTTGTGTCTGGAGTGAGGGTTGCAATGCCCCTCTAGGCAGCAGTGCAGTAGGATAACATTCCTGTGCTTTTTAACAGTAGGATTATATCTAACAGCTGTACACAGGAATAACTATATCATAGCTTCAGGATTACCAAGCATGTAGCCTTAAATTTTCTGTTAATACTGGGGGGGGGGAAAAAAAAAAAAAGACACGACTTGTGTGTGGTAAAGGCAATTTATCTTCGAGAAAGTAACTTTCTGTGCTCCTGCCTTTGCCTCCTTCAGAGCCTGATGAAGCTGGGAGCCTTGACAAAACACATCCAGGGATTTATTGAAGTCTAGGATGTTGTGTGAAGAAATGCATCAAATCAACTTATTCCATCTTCCACATGACATCATTGTAGGCAGTGAAAGCTCCTGATCAGATACAAGCTGTTTGAATCCAGCAGTTTCAGGATGGTTGTGGGCTGGAACCATGATAATTTAATTAGGAGCTGGGTGAACACACATGAAGTATTCCCAGTGTATTTACAGTTGAAACAAGCCTTTGGCAAAACCAGGTGTGTGTTTGCAGTGAGACTTCCCTGTGCCTACGGAATCTCTCCAATGAGTTAAGCAAGTTACACCTACATTGCCTCTCACTTCACTCCCCCTGAGCCAGTTTTGCTGCCACTGCCACTGATGCTTACAGGACAAAGCCAAGAGCAGCAGAGCAGCCTCCGACAGCTCTGGCTGCAGTATGTGATGCAAGTTACAAATTATTTGCTATAAAGTCACAGACATTACGCACACACATTCCTTCCCTTAATTATAGAAGTGGGGTATTGCTTTTCAAATTGCAAAAGCCTCAACTAACCCTCTAATGGAAAAAACAGAACAAGAAACAAGTAGAACAGAGCACACAACACACCTATGTTCTTCTGCAATTGAAAAATACTAACTCAGTGCACTTTAGTTCTGTTTTAGTTTGCATTGCCTTGTCCCTTCACGAGAGCAACTCTTCCCTGTTTCATTCTAGACCTACATCTGGAGAGCTGGAATATTCTCCATGCCTCCACTTGGAACAACAGAGCTTTCATGAAAAGCCAAGTTAACTTCTGTTTGTCCTGGTGAAATGCCAAGAGCTGCACAACACTTAGGTATGTTTCCCTAACCGCCACAGTGTGCTTGCCTTACCTAAGACTGTGCACCAACTTGTTCTCTCTCTCAGCCACTTTCCGAGGAAGAAACGAGCGACTCGTTAACCCACATGCTAATTGAATAAGAAAGACTCTCACCTCCACGATTTCAGTGCTCGAGTACCGCGTCAAAACGTGCTCTGCTGGGTGCACCACCGAGACCTGGACAAACGTGCTCAGCTTCCGATCACGGGTGGCAGCCACCAGGTCCTTGCATGCTGCAGGTAGGACAGAACACAAATAAAACACTCCGGAGCAAACTCTGGGAAACACTGTCACAGGCTCAGAACAAAGTAGACCACACTCCGGCTCCTGATCAATCTCCAGAGACAAGGCGATGTAACAGAGGAAGTCCCTTGGAAGTAACAGGCAGAAATAGGAAGTCACATGCTACAGGACTGAACCGAGCTCTCGTTTCCACTAAAAATACTTGCAGCTCCTGCACAGCTCGTGCAGAGGCTCAGAGGCTGCGCTGGCTGTGTGCGCACGCTACGCACACCGAGGAGTCGGTGGATCCTCCCAGCAGCCTCGTCTGAGCCTCTGCTCTACAGCTTTCACTTACTGGACCATTTTAAACACATTTTAAAGCAGTTAACCAGGGATTCGGTTAGTTTATGTAGCCTGACACTATGTATGAACTTCCCAGCAGAATTAGTCACCCAGTATAAATGTTCATACCTAAAAGCAGAGAGCAAGAACCAATTCTTCTCCCCATGATTGGCATATCAATGAGGATTATTATATTCTGCCTATATGGATCATTATTAAACTGATAAATACAGAGACCTTCACTTCTGATTTAATTAGTCATCTTCATCCTGGGCTTAGAGTCACACAGGTGGCTTGAGGTCATTCTTTAGACCGAGAGGGTGAAAGCACCAAAGAAAAAGGAGGAGGAAAGAAACAGAAGCACCATTAGCTGCTCTGCAGAAGGGATGCAGAGTAATAGGGCATGTACTGATTCAAAAGCAAAACACCTCCACCTTCCACCCTCACTAAGGAGTATGTGACAGCAAACACAGCGATGGGATCTACCCAGAGCTTCGTGCACTGCAACAAACCTCACTGGGGTCTTGGAAGTCTGAGGGAAGCAAAGCAAGGCCAATGGTTTCTGAGAGGCTAATTGTCTAGAGAGAACTGAGGCTGTTTCCTAGGAGTCAGTGCCCACCAAGGGCTGCCTCAGGTGCAGTTGACTTTAACATTTTAAAAGGTGAGCAGATTACCCTCACAGCAAGCAAACTTGGTCTGATGAGAAGCCAAGGCAAGGAAAGCTATGATACATACAAAAGCCCAACTCAGCTTGTTTTATACCCGTTTTTTTTTTCCTTTGGGCTTGGACCTGCTGCTTGAGTATATAGAAGGAAAACTGGCTGAAGCTTTTTTGGTGCTCTTTTATAACAGTTAAAAGGGGCAAGGAAACAATCAAGTCTAACCCTCAGGGAATATTTCTAAAGTTTTTGCTTTAGTTCAAATTGCCAATGAAATCTCTGGGTACATAGTCTCAAACTGACCCTCTCACAATTTAGTGGAAAAAGTGGGATAAGCATAAAAGTTTGTGCATGATGAAACCTTTATGAAACAGCTGATGTAACAGCACCAGGCTCAACTAATAAATTGCCAGCAATTCCTTGCTACTAACACACCACGTTAGTAAAGTGACTAAATAGCAGCAGTGCTTGACATGACCTGAAGAATTATGAGTAGGTTTACTGCAAAGCAGTTTCCCAAGCACAGAAGGTTGGGCAGACACTCACCCATTAGAACTACATCCTCTCTAGAGCTGACCACAGATGCAGTAGGAGATTGCTGACATCTCCAGATACAGCCATTCCCCCCACAAACCCTGATCTTATGGCACCACACAATCCTCAAATTTGCACTCTATAACCACATACACTGCCAGTAGCTGGGCAGAGATATAGTAAAATTTTTCACACCCACCACACAAAGCAAACCTAGCCAGCTCACAAATCAATGGGATACACCAAAAGGGGCAAACAGAGACACAAACTTAGGAAAAACAAAACTAGATTTTCAAAAAACAGCACCAGTGACTCTGGCAGGAGCCCTAAAAGCTTAAGTCCTGGAAAAAGTACTGGTGTGTGATGAATGGAGGTAAAACCCCTCCCAGTAACAGTCTGATTTACTTGTGGGGTGTCTTAAATACATTATCTAGAGGTGATCAAATCTTTTAGCTGCCAAGAGCACAGGCTTTTATCCTCCTGAGGAACCCTGAACAACAGGAAGAAGATTTGCACTAAGTGGTCACCACCTCGGTGGTATCTGAGCACAGGAGACAGTTCATTTCTGTGACAGTAGGGCAGGCCAGTCATTATTAGATCATTTCCCTGAGAAAAGGCAGCTCAGCAGCATGATCCTGACTTTGATTGGGCAGAGCTGACAGGAAGATCATTCATCTGCATATCTCCAGTGGGGAGGATCAGCACTAAGTATCAGAACTCTTCGAGAGACCTCAGGACAGAAGGATAAATGAAATTAAATTAAACCTGCGTCTACTTCGGTGATAGTGTTATTTATCTCTCCAGTGACATTGGGTTACTGCTGTTCACAACTGCCCTTTCAGCCAGAGAGGATACTCAGAAAGGTTGTCCCTGGCAGAGAAGTGAAGGTCTGGAGTGACACAGAATTTGTCAGCTTGAGCCACAGCGCATCACTTCCTTAACAGTAGCCCAAATGAAATGCTTAACAAAACATAAGGACAACTTTTAACCTGATGCCAAGGAATAGGAGTTGGTTATGACCCTGCTCACAGCCCTGTGCTGCATGATTGCCCTTTGAACTATTTTACTGGCAGGATCTCCAAAGAAACTTAGGTCTTCTCAAAGAAACAGTCACTCTTTGGACCAAGTGAGACATTTGAGGCTGTGAAAGCAGACAGCCACATCTCACACATTTAGCCATGGCTGTTAAGCATCACTGGCACACTACTCAACAAGAAGCTGATACTAACACACTAAGGCTGTTTCTGAACTGCAAAATAATGCTGTGGAAGCAGCTAACAACACCACTGCCCTTTCCATCCTAACCTGTGCCCAAGCACACCATGCACACAGGTCACAATCACTTTTCATCACTTCACTGTGCCTGGATTAATTCTGGAAATCTCCTCAAGAAAACTCAGCGCAAGGAAGCGACAGCTTGCGCTTACATGCCAAAGGTGTATGAATCTACTCATTGTGACTGTTGAGTCAGCGTGTAAAAGCCTGAGTCACATTCCCCTGGTGATCCCAGCCCTGCTGAGCCTATGGGGTACAGTGAATGTTTGAGGAAGAACTGCATGAGCAATAATTTGTGCTTTAAGAGCAACAGAGAAAAACGTTAAGATCGCAGGAAGAAACAAATCCTCTACATATTAAGGAAGACAAGAAAGGCAGCAAAGCAATCACTGTGTGCAGAGCACAAGAAAAGCTGCAGGCACAAAGAACTGGTCTGGAAGACACACACAAACACTAATGTATTTCAAAACATGCAATAGGTATAGAACTCTCATCATTTACAACGCCCGAAAACAGATGACATTTACTCAAAGTTATCCTTCAACACTTCCAAAACAATTAAAGCAATAAGAATATTGTTTCCATTACTGCTGTTATTCCACTGTTATAACATTACAATACCATTCCTATATGAATCCCAGTACACAAGATCTCCCTCCCTGCCAGTCGTGCCTGTACCTTGCCCTGCACATTGCAGGAGCACAACGAGGCACACAGACCTCGTGTGCTGGAAAGGCAAACTGCACAGGAGATCTTGGGTCTGTGCTGCTCACCCTTGTGTGAATGCACACAAAGACAGCAGAAGGGACAGACTGGACACTGCTTCCTCCAGTCTGAGCTTGGTAAACACAGGGGAATCTTGCTGCATGGGTTCAGTGACTCACACCTGGCATCTGGGAGAACTTAGTGCAAACATGACCTATATGTAGGAAGAGAAAAACTAGAAAAAATCCCAATGATTATAGAACAACAAAAAAGAGGGGGGGAGCGAACCAAACTAAACCAACAAAAATTTCAAACCAGAAATAGGCTGAGAATTCAGCACCTACCTTCCCTGAAACTGTAACAGCTCTGGCCAGGCACTCAGTGCTCACTGCTCCATGCACTACACCCACTGGAGCCCAAAAAAATCGATGTGGCAGAGGAATGGGGAGATGCAGCATCTCCTAGAATCGAAAAAGATCCAGTAGCTACAACCAATGACTTGGGCAGAGGGAATGACAGACACCCTCAGCTCAGAGTTTACAGAGCTGCTTGGGAAGGAAGCCAAGGACTAGCCCAAAACTTGGGAAATAGCATTGAGACTGCAATGTTTATTTTTGTAAGAGGAAAATTACAGCACAGGAGTGAATGCCTTCCCAGGCTCTGGAGTCACACAGGGCACGTATTAGCCTACACCACAATTTGCAAGGTACTCTTACTCCTTATCTAACCATTGACAGAAACACCATTTCCCACAGCTTCATTCCTTCCCATTTCCCAAACTAAAACAGATTCCAAGGGTCTGTCAAGGGACAGGAATTAACCACCACAGCCCTGTTGTCTCCAGGGCATGTTATTTCGTATGCTGCCAAAACAGAACAGAAAATTCGCAGTATCTGAAGACAAGGGGCATGGGAGAAGCCTGTATGTCTCACACACACATATATACATGAGGAGAGGCTGAGGGAGCTGGGGGTGTTCACCTTATCACCCTCTGCAACTCCCTGACAGGAGGTTGGAGTCAGGTGGGGGTTGGTCTCTTCTCCCAGGCAACCAGCAGCAGGACAAGAGGGCACAGACTCAAGCTCTGCCAGGGGAGGGTTAGGTTGGAGATTAGGAAGAGATCTTTCAGGGAGAGGGTGCTCAGGCATTGGGATGTGCTGCCCAGGGAGGTGGTGGATTCACCACCCCTGGAGGTTTTCAAGCTGAGACTGGATGTGGCACTTAGTGTCATGGGCTAGTGACCATGGTAGGGTGATCTTGGAGGTCTCTTCCAACCAGGATGATTCTATGAATACCCAAACCTATTATAGCCACGGAAAGATACATTTTTAACTCCCAGAGAAAAATTTTCATTTCCTTGCAAGTGCAGCAGCATTACCAGCCCAAAGCAACTTAGTGTATGAATAACAAGGCAGAGTCTGTCTCAGTAAACCAGTGCAGTGAGGTGTAGCTGTTCCTTAGTGGGCAAGAGGACACATTAAATAAGAGAACTCCAC